TAGCGCTTGGCATGGGGTATGAAGAATTGAGAACCTTTGTATATTCAATGGTTGAACTCCCTTTTGAGATAGTAATGTGTATAAGTTTTTCTTTAAGTTTTGGATCGTCGTTCTATTTATTCATGTGGTTTTATTCTGGTTTTGTTTGAGGACGGAAGTGAACGACTGAGTCCCGGCGAGATCTGGGCAGGCGGTCCGCCGAAACCTTTGGTTCACCTTAGGGGGAGGTGGGGCTATCACACAAAGTAGCAAAAAGGCACAATCAAGCAAAGTGGGGTGAAAAAAACCACTACACCACCAACTCTTCAAAAATCTCCTAAAAATAGCAAAAACACTCCCAGTGCTCCCCTTTCAGAGAATCGTACGAAAGGGAAAAATTCTTAAGTAAACTATCAACAAATCAAGAAAATAAAAAAAATAAAAAAAAAACAAACGGATGATACAAGTGACAAAAGGCTAAAAGACAAAATAGGAGAGCATGGAAAATGGGCTAAATTATCACTAAGCAAAGTAGCAAAAAGAACAAAATCAAGCAAAGTGGGGTGAAAAAAACACTACACCACCAACTCTTCAAAAAATCTCCTAAAAAATTGCAAAAAAATCCCTTTTCACTAATGTAGAAAAGGAAAAGGGAGAAAAGGAAAAAAAATACAACCAAGCAAAGTGGAAAAAAACTACTAAATCACTAGTTCTTCATACCTTGACTTTTCAGATATTTCGAAACACCAAAACTAAGCATCACAAAAAAATAAAGAAACCATAAAAACAAAAACTGTAAAATGATAAAAATGGTACACCCAAATGTTGCCTAATATTTCCCATGCATAGAAATAGAAAGAGAAGAGGAAAACATTATGAAAATTGAAATAATACTTAAAAACTTCTGATCCCTCAGAAAAGCCAATTCGAACCCAATTCAGTGCTTCTATAGATCTTTAAAACACCCAAATGCTACCTAATATTTCACCTGAAGAGAAACAAAAAGAGAAGAGTAAAGAATTATATTAGACCAACTGAAAGCAAACAAACAAAAAAGTTTAAGAAAAAATCAGTGATTCTATATACCTTTAAAACACTCAAATCCAACCTAATATTTCGGTGGGAGAGAAACAGGAAGAGAAGAGAAAAGAATTATATTAGGCCAGCAGAAAGCAAATGAACAAAAAAATTAAAAAATACAAAAAAGGAAACCTGTTTGAACCCCTCCAAAAATCTTCGAAAGACCCAAATGCTACATAATATTTCGTTTGGAAAGGAACAGGAAAAGAAAAGCAGCAAAAGTAGGAGACAAAGTTTCAAAGGTTGGAAAATGCAAAATACGACCAATAACAGAAGAGAGCGATGAAGAGAAAAGGAGTGAAGAGAAAGTTTGAGGAAGAGATGTTTGTATCTAATCCTATGTCACTAACAGAGAGGATTAGAGGAATGCATACAAAGTAAAAAATTAAGAGAAATAGAAGAAAATGAAGAGAAGATAAGAGGCGGCCTCTAAATCTCTGAATTAGGGCTTGAGTCTAACTTAGGGGTAGAAGAGATTTAATAACTTAAATCTGCGCAATGCCCTAAACAAGCGAGAAGGAGAGTCACGAGAGCACGACAAAAGTCATGTGCAAAACGATGAAACTCTTGGCTCTTTTATTACTTAATAAGTGGCTTGCCTTGCTCTTTGCGCAGAGTTGCCATGATTTGGTGATGGTGTCTTTCTTTTTGGGCATGTGTTTTATGGTAATAGGAAAAATGTTAAGTGATGCTATTAGTTGGCTAGTAATAAAGTTTAATAATATATATTAATAAAAAATATTTATTAAGCAATTGTCCGCTATAGTATGCTTGTTAATAGAAATTACTGAGGAAAAAAGCACACTGAAGAGAAATCAAACAGAGGGAAAAAATGAAAAATAATTGACAAATAAAAAATGATGATAAAGAATAAAAAGGATACTATTATTGCTATGCTATTGAAATGAAGAAATAGATGAATAATGGATAAAAATAGCAGTGATGAATGTGTGTAAAGAACATTAAAAATAAAGGGATGTTTTTAATTATTTCATAAATAAAAAAGGAAAAAATTTGGAATGCAGAGAAATCTAAATACAAGGTATTTGGAGTAGAATTGGTAGTAAAATATTTCACTAAATTTAAATAAGAGAAGGAAAAATTCTAAAAATGTAGAAAAATATGCAATAAAAATGCAAAATATGTAAAATAATTTTTTTAATCATGTGCTTTGCATTCAAATAGAATTCAATATATTTAATTATAAATGATTTAATGTTTTTGTGACGAATTGAGAGGTATTTGAAGCATAATTAACAGTAAATTATTTAACTAAATTCAAGGGAAAAAGGAAAAAATTTGAAAGTTAGAGAAATTTGGAGTAAAATCTATGGGATGGTTTTTCTAATCACATCATGTTTATTCAATTGGAGTTCACCACATCCAATAGAAAAGATATCAGTATTACTATACTATTAAAATTAAGTAATAAACAAATAATGTACAGAAACAATAATAGTAGATTTGTCTAGAAAGTATTGAATAAGTGTCTAATCAAGATATCTTTTATTTTTTTATCTAATATAAATAGAAAATATGTGGAATAAAATTTATAAATTTGGAACAAAATTCATGGAATCTTTTATTATAGCATTCATTTATTAATATCAATACAATGTAATCCATTCGTTCGACTTTGATAGTCTATTTTTTTTCATCCATCCTAAATTATAGTCTACTTTTCAATTGAAAAATATAATTAAATTGTAATTTCTCTAAAATATCTTTATTAATGTACTTTATTATCAATGAGTATAACCTACTTTATTTATTAATTGCTTAGATTCATGGTTTGAATGGTACAATTTTTATAGTATTGTTATTGTAATTAATGTAAAGGTATAATGATTAGTGATACTTTTGATATTAGTTTAACAGTATTTTAAGAAAGTAGTAGACTGGATTTAATCTTTTAACCAAGTTAACTAGATTTTCCAAAACTATGTGAAAAAAAGACTATCAAAATAAAACGGAGGGAGTAATTAGGACATAATTTATCAAGCAAAAAGCTTTTCAAAGAAGCAAGCAGGAAAAATTAAATTCAGCCTTGCATTCTCTATGTGTAGTGATTTCCAGCTGTTAAACATTAATTTTCTATTATCTAAAAGTCATTGAAACAATTGGAGCTCAGCGCATTTAACACAAAAAATATTAGCATAAATATTTTTTTAGCAACGAAGAAATAAATAAATGGTGCATAGAAATAGTTATAGTTGTTGTATCCAAAGAGCATTAAACAAGTTTCCAATCAAGGAAGCTTCTATTTTTTATTTTTTTTTGGCTAATATAGAGGAATTTGGAGCAAAATGTATCCTGATTTTTTTGTTAGATTATTAGATTATGTTCATTAATAGCAACCATCTTTCACTACTATATAAAATTTTGAAGCAAAATTTATCCTGGAATTTTTTTGTTACGGTATGTTTATTAATACAAAGTAATAGTTAGGAAAATGTCATTTAAGGAGGGGAAAAGCTCCAAGAAACAAGAAGGAAATAATAAATTTTACTTTATATATTGTTTGTTTAATCATCTATAGCTATTATTATTTTTTGGCTATGTAAAGCGTACACAATTAATTAAAGCTCACCATTATACTTTACGTAGACTTTATATGTTGTTTGTTTAATCATCCATTGCTATTATTACATTTTGACTATTTAAAAAGTATGCAATAATTAAAGCTCACCATACTTCATTTTCTTTTTTAGCAATTTAGAAAAATTTTGAACAAAATTGGTATTAAAATTTTCAATTGAAGTTGGGACAAAATTATACTAAAATTTACTTTTTTCACTCAAGTAATTAATTGATGCATAAAAATAGTAGCAATGAATTCCTGCAAAAAGTGTTATCTATAAGTGGATACTAAAGGGACCCTTTATTTATTTATTTTTGGTCAGGAACATAGACAAAGTTCACCATACCTCTTTTTCTTTTCCAGTAATTTAGAAGAATTTTGAACAAAATTGGTATTAAAATATTCAATTGAATTTGGAACGAAATTATACTATTTTTTTTTCTGAATTTGTGCAAAAAGTGTTATATAAGTGGCCACTCAAGGGACCCTTTATTATTAATTTTTTTTGGCCAGGAGTGTGGACAAAATTTGGAGTAGATTTTTTGGTGTGGAATGTTGATGAAATTTGGAGCATAAATCATACTAAAATGTTAATCTAAATTTATATTTTCCTAATGACTACAAAAGATAGTATCTGTCCAAAAGCAGGCACTTTTTTTATTAGGCTCAGACCATGGCAAAACAGGAACAAATTGTGGCTCATCATGCGTTTTTTTTTAAAATTAGGCTTAGATCATTGCAAAACCAAAGATGTGAGCACTCGAGGAAATCAGGTGTGTGCTTTGCATTTATTTTATTTTATTTACCTTGATATTGGAAATATTACATATAATGAATAAGTGGTTAAATTAAATGTCTAATTGAATTTCTATGAAATCAAGAATTAGAAATATCCTAGATTGGTGAAGAAAAATTTTTATGAATCAAATAAACACATGGTATGTATATTGTAAATTGTGTCATTTGCATATATTACTAGACACATAGCATAAATTATACAGTTGAATAAATTATATGTCTAGTTGATTTTCCTTTAAAACCGAATGTATGAAAATCTCCTAGATTAATGTACGAGAATTTTGTAAGGGTATATAAATTAGAACAAATGAAGTTTGGAGTCAATGCATGAAATAATAAAACCGCAGCTCCTTAGTGAGCAAATAAGTTAATACTAATGACCTAACTAACCCTGAATCTTGGTTAAACTACTATGCAACCTAAGGAAGCCATCTTCTGGAAGACAACCGAGAGGAAACAAAGAAAAAGAAATTGCTAGTTGGGCGGTGACCGAGAGGAAAGAAACACAAGGCAGCTTTCTTTCTTTCTTTCCAAAAACGGAATCAAGGGAGTGGAACTAAGAGTGAGGGAGAGAAAATTTGGTTAGCTTCATCATCTGCTAATCATAATCAAGAAGAGAAAGGCAAGGAAAATAGGAGGGATAGCTGGTGCAGACCTTGAGGAAACAAAGCTGGGAAAATCTGGTCAGTCTGCAATTTTTAACTCTTAAAGGAAATAGGTAAATTCTCTGTGATCAATACTTATTCAATGAGTATAAATGAATATATATATATACACACACACACAAGCTGCAAGATAAGTTTTAGCAGAGGAAATGAGCTTCGATTGAAGAAAAATTCTGGTTTGAGATTAAAATGATTATTTGACTGAAGTTGTAGCAACCGGGAGTTAATTACATGAATTTCAGCTCATTAGCAGTGTAAAAATGGAAAATATTATATAAGAAAAGCATGTAATATGGTTATCTCTGGTATTATAAGAAGTTTAGTTGAAGAAATTTGGGAAAAGTTGGAAATTGGGAGGACCGATGGAAGATCCTTGCTGGAATTTTTCCAGCTTCATCCGAGTGGGAGGGGGGAATGGAAAAGTTTCAGCTGTCTTTGGTGAATAATGACTCTAAAATTCTGTGTTAATCTGTAATATGTTGTATAACATCCTGATTTCTTCATGCATGAGAGGTTTGAGCATAAAATGGAGGGATCTAGTAGAAGAAACTCGTCTTTAGGCATTACTTGCTGGTACGAACCAGCTTTATAGCCGAGAGAGGATATAAATCTTGGTTCAGATTTTCTCTTGGATTTTTGGCTATAAATTTCTATGTTTTGCTTAAGATGGTCTGTAGTTGAATGATCATTCCCTGCATGTCTAGTTGGAGCATGAAACTAAAAAGAAAATTATGAGAAAACACCACATGTTTTTTTTTTAATAGGGATGCCATCCCTTAATTTATTTATAACCGAAAAAAAATACAGCGATTTAGAGGGGGCCCAAACCTGACCTTTGTTAAAGGAAAAGAAACATGTAATGATGAAAAAAAATAAAACGCACATATGAAGGAATTCTAAAGACATAACAGATCAATCAAAAGAAATCATCCACATGAGGGTGCCCCACATTTGTGTGACTGCGAGTGAGCATGGGAATTTGGTTTAACATCTTGACGTGTTTGCGTTGTTTTACCTTTTTTTGAAAGCTGTTTTCTTGATTTCTTTGAAATCACTTGGGTAAATTGCTCTTGAACTAGGTTCTGGTCTTGATCTTTGTCTTTTTGGCGTTGTGAATCATTTTCTTCCTCTTCATTTTTGTCGTCATTGCATGTTGTTCTTGAACGAATAAAAAGCATTTGATGTGGTCGGGGAACCGTACCATGTAATTTCTCCTATTTAATCTCTTCGAACACATCTTTAAATTGTGGCACTGGATTTTGAGGCAAAGAGGATTTCGTTTCTGTTCTTGTACTTGTACTTGTACCCACAAGGGTTGGGTCTCCACTTGACACTATATCACGTGGGTCATGAACTTGGTCTATCTTCGAGAATGAACCATTTACCACAGTAGACGTAATTCCATTAACTTTCTGTGAATAGTCGCTAGCCTCCATCGCCTTATCTTTCGATGCAGCCTCTGTGAATGTGCCATTAGCTAGATGAATGGAATGGTCATCGTCAGACCCCGGATCAGTGAATTTTCCCTCCTCAAGTGGATTCGAAGTCGAAATCTGCAATCCAGCATTTGCTCCATCGTCCGGCACCACAGCCACAGATGAATTAGGTGGAGGAAGCAGCGCCTCATCCTCTGCCAGCGTTTCCACAGCAGCAGGTTCCGGGATATTGCCCAGATCAGCAGCTTCCTTTCCTATGCTCCGTGCGTGATCCACGGTAACAACCGGCTGCACGGGCGTGCCACCCTCCGCCATCAGATTTTGTGCCGCCTCCTTGTCTTGAACCTCAACCCATTGTTTGGAGCCAAAACCCACTCGAGGAGGATGCCCAGGTTCTTGCATTTCTCCTCCTGTCTTCTTTGTCCGCAATGACGGATTCAGTACATGGCATTCATCCACCATGTGTCCCTGGCGATAGCAATGAGACCAGTATCTAGGGATGTTCTCTGGTACAAGCTCCTGCCAAAAGCCTTCGTGCGCACCATTTCCAATCCAGATTCTCGAAGGTCGTGGTTTCAATAAGTCAACTTCAACACAAACCCTTGCAGCACTTGGTCTAGAAACGGCCACAGTCGCTGCATCAATCAGCAATGGAATGCTGAGCACTCCCACAACTTGAAACAGTGCCTCCTTGTGGAACAAATGTAATGGAAGTTTAGGTAGTTGAAACCACATCGGAACTACTGATGGTTTTCGATCAACATGGAAAGCAGGCGACCATTTGAAGACTCGCATAGGGGATCCATGGACATACCAGATCCCTCGAGACCAACATCTATGAAAATCAGCTTCATTATGAAAACGTAACAACACATGTCGTGGGTCGAGCAGCCCAACCGTGACTGCCTCGCGCAAATCCAGCTTGAGAAGAAAAGTTCTAATGTCCTCCAGTTTTGGCCGCCCCCTGGAGAACCTGCCCACTAGCGCAAATCTGTAAGGAGCCGCCAATTTGTCTAAGGAGTGGCAGGTTCACCCTTGTGCATGGATGGAGTGGCCTGGACAGAAAGTGACGGTGTGGAAGATTTATCTGAGAATAGATCAGCAAACGACTTCCGAAGAAAGATTGGAGAATGCGGAACTTGCCCCCCAGCAGGTGGCTGGAGGGCTGCCATGTCTGGGACCAAACAAAGATGCTAGTTCTCAAAGGACATAATTCCCTTGAACTTAGTTTGAAAGAGGCAAATTATCAAACAACTGGTGGATTATAATAAACCTTTATTAGTGTGCATTAGTTCTAAAGAAAGTAGCACCAAAATTTTTTTCAGCAAATTAACTAAATCTAGTGCTCCAAGCTCCAGATGTTCAAAATACAACAAAAACCCAACCAAGAAGATTAATGAGATAAAAGGAAAAACTTTACCAAAATTTCTGCACCTAATCGTTGGAAGCTTCCAAGACCTGTGCAGAATGATCACTTGACGGTGGCAGATAAACAATCTTGTTATAGAGGGAAGAACTGAGGATTTTGTTGAAATCCATCTCAATCGCTTAATTTTCTAAGGGACCACAGATACGTGCTTCCTTCTCCTAAACTTTCCTTCATTCTAAAACTTTATTTTTTCTATCACCATCATCTTATTTTTTGATCACAAATATTATTTTTTTTAAAAAAATCATTATGAAAACCCTAGAAAACACCGCATGTTAAACTGCTATACTGCTGCAAATTGTAATTAGTCGATGACAGATTGTTGTGCGTAGCTTTTGGGTTGAATAATTTGTTGAAACTAGATGCTATTTGCCTTGGTATATGCTGGACTGAATGTACTTTAAATATTTAGACCTTTAAGCAAGTGAAAGAATAGAGTTTTCGTCGAAAGCTTGAAGTAACGTTACTAGTTTTGGTTGCTGACCGAGAAAATGAAACAGATTGCGCTTCTGACCGTCCATTTTTTGCCTTGAAAACGCGATAACTGGATGTCAATGTCTTCAGAAGAAATGTAGGTCTATGTCTTAGCTTCGAAACGCTATAAAATTCGCCTCAATCCGATAAGCGTAGCTCCAGTTGTGATCTAAACATCAGAGGGTGGCAAAGCTGCCTTTCTTGTTGCTTTCCTTTTGTTCCCAGATGCACTTTGCTTTGATAATGGCCGTGAGGAACCAACTTTGAACCAGCATTTCCTCTAATTTCCAACTTTGTAAGCTTTCATAGATGATAGCTATGGTTATCCTGAGATTTAATGGCTATATACAGCTCCACGAGTAGCTTTCATGATAATTATGTACCTAAATTAGCTTCTAATTACTTAATATTGTCTTCACAAATATTTTAAAGATTATAAAATTTGAGGGACTGGTGTAGTGGAATAAAATTTAACTTACAAATAACCTAGAGTTTAATTTATTAAAAAGGGGACCAATGAAGTACTCCTAAACCATAATCTTAGAATCTTGAATGGAAAATGATTTGATTCTAAAATAAATATCTTATAACTTATTAACTTGGGAAAACAGGTATAATTCTTGATTAAAACAATAAAGTCAATAAGTTTCAAAATAAAATGATAAATGAATATTGAATATATTATATTTGTACTTTAAGGTCAAACTAGAATCTGTTTTAGCCTAGACGGAAGAAATGAAGCGTTTGCTTGTCTTAATCCTTGCAGATTAGATTGGAAATGAGTTAATCTTAGCTCAAGTGTTTTATATGATATTAAAACTTGGTGTATATGTACATTAACCTTGTTTTAAAGCTACCAAACTTAATAATCTTGAAGACAAACGTAAGGAAGGTGGCTAGATTTTGGTGATTCGTTTTATAAGCTTAGGAACTTGGGTTTTAGTTACTTAAACCTTAAATTATGTTAGATGAATGGTTGTATATAAAATGAATATTCACTTTAGAATTATTAACTTGTACCAGGAAGTAGCCGTGAACCAGGAAACCAACTCGAGACTCGAGAGTAGTCATTTGAATCTTTGGTGAGTGTTTTTCGAGTTTATGTGTACCTAAGTGCAATTATATGGCAAATGTGCTTATTATGAAATATTGCTAAGTGATTCATTGTGAAGTGTTTTCAATTGTCCCTCCCCTTCTAAGTCGAAGGTGTACTTTATCGCACTTAACTTAGTTGAGGTTGAAGGTTGATAATTGATCAAGTGATATTGTAAGTGTGCAGAACTGTAAACCATGTGTGTACCTTATCACACTGGCTGAACTGGGCCCCAAAACCCTCTATTCAACGGACTATTCGAGCCAGCAAAGGGCTTGGTCAGGTAGGACGGTAGTTTTGGGTAAGTGTTTTGATATACTCGAATATTACCACGGAGTAGCAGATTACTGATATTGATATGGCCATCCAAGTGAGGGAAGTGTTTATTATTTTGGAGGTTATAAGGAGGAGTTCGGTGGAGTGTGTAGTGCATTGAAGTGGCTCTAGTGCGAGTACCGTATCCTTTTAAAAGTGATTGTTTGGTGATGTGCTTCCTCAATTGCTTAATGAAAGTGATTGTACAGTGAAATGTGCACTACTCGCTTAATTGTACTGATTTAAGTGCTTATTGATTGTTGCTTGCATGGAAACCTCACGGGCGTAAGCTCACCCTTTTAGCTTTGTTTTCCTTACAGGAGTTGGAGATTGAAAAGTGATTAGATGGAATTGGAAAGTTGTTTTGGGAAATTCCATCACTATGTGTATATATTGGAGTCACGTTTTCTTTTGTATTTTAAGATGGTTGAATCTTCTGTTTTGAGTTGATGTAATATTAAGAATGGATGTTTAGAACGTGTATTTTGTTTCTTTTAGTGGACAAATCTATGTTTCATGCTGATTGGAGTGGTACTTAAGAGTGAATGTTCAGTTGTTCAATGATAATGATATCTCTGAAGTTAATGTAAGTGAGTGAGTCCTGGCGAGAGTCAGGCAGGCGATCCGCTAACTTCTAGGGTAGGCCCTAGGAGAAGGTGGGGTCGTCACAAAAGTAAACTGTGACTTGGGGGCATTAAGAACACACATGCAACACCAAGTTGAAACACTAAATGGGAGAGGGGGAAAAAACAAAAGAAAGAAGCAGGCAACAAAGGAAATCTCCTACCAAAATTGCTCCTAAGGCTGCACAAAATCACCAAAGAATCAGCAGAACACTCAGGAGGGACGAGACTTCTATCGTTCCTCAGCATTGGGCGCTTTTAATAGGTAGGATGTAGATGATGATATTGACTAGGTTTTCAAAAGCCAAGAGACTTAATTTAGAGTTATTTGCCTAAATAACTCCCTTTACAAAAAATATTCCTAATATCATTTGATTTCGTACTTTATTCCCATACAGCTGTTAGGATCTAACAGCAGAACAAACAACTATTAAGATATCAATTGCACTACAATTTAATGATAAATAAGTCACAAGAATAAAAGATAAACGACACACAATATTTAACGTAGTTCGACTCTATCATTGAGTCTACGTCCACGGAAAGAAACTCGTTCTTTATTATGAGAGCAAAATCCTATACAAAAATATAACTTAAATCCAAACCTAACCCTTGTTTACCATCTCTCATCTTCCAAGAACTCTCTATGACCACCCATGTATAAGGTTATATGTTACCTCTTGTTGTGCTCTTGTGTGTCTCTTGTGTAGTATGCCAACCCACCTATTTATAGGGAACATTATATGGGCAAAACCTAAAAAATAATAGGAAACCGATGTTAATTCCTAAACTAGTTCAGAATAGGAAATAACTCCTCTTTCTAAACTCATACAAATAGGAAATTCCTTGACTACTACTTCAAGTAACTAAACCAATTAGGAAACTAATTTCTTCTACACAAAATAAAAAATCTATCTAAAAGAAATTAAGCCAATTTCCTAACAAATCAAATATCTTTTAGTAATCAATTGCCTTCAACTACCAAATAATATGATACTGAACTATGCACTCGAATCAATACAGTCTTGATGCCAAATTGATTTAATCGGCAAATGAATATGTGTAGTTACCCTGATTCCAACTTCTAGTTGACTAGTGAGAATGTGCCTTAATTCACCATCTCTCTTTGTAAAATTTTTTACACCACCACTTGCAATGCGGGATTCCCTTCTGTAAGCTCTAACCCTAATATTGAGGCAACTAAGTGGTAAAATCACTATACTTCTTTCCATCCTCAAGACTATTTCGCCACGTGTGATTTTCAAAACTTCACCTAAAATGAAAAACTCGTAATTGTCAGAATCTTCTGACACATGAAAATTAGATCTCTTTGTTTCTTTGGGACATATGCCACACCATCTAAAAACATAATTGAAATCTAAAAGCCACTAGGATGAAGTATCAACCGTTGGAGGTGTGAAAAAGTCTCCATCGATTTATGTCCAAAATCAACATTAGACTCCACTTTTTTCTTGACCCTTGAATCACCTGCCTAGATTCAACGTCAAGTGTCTCCATACTTTTCAGCTTTCCATCCTTCACCTTCAATACTTTTTGCCAAACTATTGAAACAAGAATACCACTCAGTAAATTGTTCAATTAGTAACAACCACCAATCCACTTAATCTCAATAGTTAATCAGGATCCAACCTTGAATAACCAAACTTTTGATCCAATCATTCAGTTTGTTGGGATCCAAGTGCTTGTAAGCAACCCAACCTCGCAAGCAAGCTCGATACCATTTGTTAGGATCCAAGTGCGGAACAAACAACTATTGAGATATCAAGTGCACAATAATTTAATGATAAATAAACTACAAGCATGAAAGATAAATGACATACAATATTTAATGTGGTTCGCCTCCACCATTGAGTCTACGTCTACGGAGAGAAACCCGTTCTTTATTATGAGAGGAAAACCCTATACAAGAATACAACTTGAACCCAAATCCAACCCTTGTACACCGTTTCTCATCTCCCAAGAGCTCTCTCTCACCACCCATGTATAAAGGTACATGTCACCTCTTGTGTCCTTTTGTATAATATGCCAATCCACCTGTTTATAAGGAACATTATATGGTCAAAATCCAACTAGCAACAGGAAACCAATGCTAATTTTTAAACTAGTTCAGAATAGGAAATAACTCCTATTCCTAAACTCATACAAATAAGAAATTTCTTGACTACTATTTCAAGTAACTAAATCAATTAGGAAACTAATTACTTCTATACAAAACAAGAAAGCGTCTAAAAGAAATTAAGTCAATTTCCTAACAATAGCCTTTTCTGTTAACTATTCGATTAAATTCAAACGGAAATGAGAAAAAGGGTAAACCCTTTCATTAGCCATTTATATAGTCTAAAAATTCCCTACATGACTATAATACTCTACTCTAAATCCATCTTTCCCTTTTTTATTATAATACTCTACTCTACTCTGCCTTTATTTGTCACTCTACTGTAACTCTTTTCACTCGAAAAAGTCTTGAATACTTAATATGAACCTAATGATATTTCCAAATATGAGAGCAAAATCTAAAATTTGACTATTCATTTCCGTTTCAATTGCGGTAATTTTCCCTTTATAGTGCTTTCCTTCTTGTTAGAAAAAGAAAAAAAAATAAAGAAAAACTCACTAAAAATCCAAAGAAACTAGAATTATCACCAAAAATGAGAGTAAGATCTATATTTTGATTGTTCATATCCATTCCAGTTGCGGTAATTTTCTCTTTCTGGTGCTTCTTTCCTATTAAAAGTAAAAAAGAAAAAAGAAAAACTCACTTCAAATTTAGCAAAATTGGAATTATTAGTATATTTGCACAGAACTCTCCTTCACTTGTTCATTCGATTAACTCTTTCTGGAGTTTTGTTTGATTTTGTTATACTGCATTGAACAGAAACTCATTGTGCGTGTGGCTATATATTGGGACAACAACATGTTGGGCTAAGGAAAGGATTCTTATGCTTTTATTTTGGATGGATGCTCGGGAGTCCGGAAGCTCCTATGTTAATAATGGTGGTAACGAGAATTTCATTGTAAAAGCATGGAGAAGGTTGCTCGTTGTTAGGGGATAAGGTCAAGGTTAGAAGCTTATATTAGTAATAAAATTTGAAGTTGAATCGTTGTAGGAATATTTTCTGAACTCCTTGATTTATATAACAACTATATAAAATCCTTACACTACCTTTACCAATAAGTACCCTATGGACAGCTTGAGCAAGGTGGCATTCTTTCATTAGTTTATTCTTCATTTGTTTAAGGGTGGACATTTGGGGGGGGGCAAATATACAATCTGTAATTGGGGGCAATTTGGGGACGGATATGCAATGGACAGATTTTTTTACTTTTTTCTTTTCCCATTGTTTCAATATTTAATAATGGTTTTTTATAAAAAGCAAATTTCGTCAATTGATCGTGAAAATTGTTTAGCACAATTTGATTTATAACACTGTCATAGAAAATAATAGATCTATCATTTAACAGAAACAATAGATCTGAAAAATTTCAACAGATTTGAAAATATAAGAAAATTTTAAATTATCTTCTAATAAGATAAATCACTCTAACTCTCTTCTGTATATATTGCAATCACCAACCAAATCTATTAATCAATGATTTTAAACTCTAATAATAATGATGATGATGATACAATTTGTCGAGATAGCCTCTTTACATTTTACATACATCATAAATATATTTTCTCACTACTTTTTATAATTCCAACTATTTTTATATTTTACATACATTATATCACATCACAAAAAAATATAATGATTTTATATCGAATAATATTTTACCCAAACGGACCACGGGTAGGAACGGTTGCAGCGGTTTTGTGCATTTTGCACATCACATAACTTTGTTTGCTCACGGCGTAACTTTGTTTGCACAACGTACAACTTTAGAATAAATTTTTGTGGGTCTCACATACATTGTTAAAAATAAGGTATAAGAAGTGATTTGGATCGTATAATTTTTTTTTGGATCATGAACTGTTCAAAGACGGTCCTACTGCTGACCGTCCATGCCCCGTCTCCTATCCAAACACATCCGGTCATCCATACCCTCTTATGGTGGGAAGCTAGCCTTTCACGGAAACTATGTGGGCCACAACACGACAAAATGCCACCTACCCACAGCTTTAGTCGCAATGAGTACATGGCACAAATATTTGGGGGCCAGAATTGGGACTAAGCCCACCATTGCCTGGCAGCAAACAGCCACCCATAAGAGAGAGAAGACCAACCCACTTGAAAAGATAAAAATGCCAACTCAAATCACCCCATTATGAGTTAACTCTTATGAGAGTAGAATTAGGGGACCAAACACCCTTTTATGAGTTAACTCTTACCCATCCCACCTCGAATATCAGCGAGTATCTATTGAGATAAGGTCGGGTCAACAGATACTTATCTCACTTTACTTATTATTTAAATTTTTTATACTAATTAAATTTTGTATTTTACACATTCATCTGAGATTTAATAAATATTTTTTTCAAACAAGCATGCAAAGAGGATACAAAATAAAGGAAAAAATTAAAAGAATTCAAAATTAATAAAACTTTGAAATAAGTAGCTCATTCTTTTAAATATATGTTTCATATTAATTAAACTCTTTTCTATAAAACATAATATCATGACATTTACAAATGAATCTTATAAATAAACTATAATCTCTTATATTTGTAATGCAATTTGTTCAATGAAATTGATTATTTAGCTTCAAAAATATTATTTTATAATACGTATATAAAAATAAGTAAATATATGTATGTATGTGTTTGTGTGTATATATATATATATGTGAGGCAGGTTGGATATCCACAGGTTTTTAATTATGTAACCCTAACCCGCCCTA